CCGAGATCCACGCCTGCCCCCCGCCTCCTGGGCCGCTCTCGGGTGGCCTCCCCTCTCCCCCCCGGGGGCAGGAGGGAGTGTGGACAGGGACGCCCCGGGAGGGGCCCGGCGGCCGGGCTGCGCCTCTCACGCTGTGTGTTTTGTCTGTTTTTCTCTCCCAAGGTCCCGTTTCCCTCTGTGCGGCGGCCGGCGGGACCATAAGGGCTTAACTCATATATTTAACCCCCCTCCGAAAAGTAAGTGGCCCGTGTGGTGTCCCCGCCCCGCCCGCCGCCCCCCACCCCCAGCCCTGGTCCCCCCTTGTGTCTGACTCGCCTGTCCTCCAGCATTGTTATTCCCCACTCTTTGCTTCCGTGCTGCGGCCGTGGGGGCACACGCTCCCTCGGCGCCCTCCGTTCCCCCACGCCCAGTCCTCGGGGAGGTCCCGAATTCCAGTCCCCTCCTCCCCGTGGGGCATCCGCTCGGGGACCAGGTCTTCCCCAGCAGAATGTGGGGGATTCTAGCCGGTCGCTTGGGCCCCTCGTCCCCTCCTTCCCGACCGGGTTTCGTTGGAAGGAATTATGCAAATCCTGCTTTCTGGTGTCCATTCAGCGGCAATTTCATGCGGTGAGAAGTTCTCTTTGTTGTGCGCGGGGGAGAACAGACACTGATTTAATAGACATATCTGTTGGGGGGAAGGGTGGGTGGAGGGGGTGTGGAGCTCAGTTTGGAAGAATTACAGCACTTGGTTAGCTCAGTGTCTTTGTGTTTGAGCCTTCTGGCTTGACAGGAGGGTCTGCCCTTTACAACGTCCCATAAGGGATGTTTCCTATAATAGATGAAAAGCTAAACCGAAACTTTAAACAAGTGAGAAATAAGGTAAGCTTTACTTAGAGAACGGAAACCTTTCCATTTTTGCAGCGGTTCATTAGGAAAAGGTATAGTGTGAATTATGTTCGGGATTTAAACTGTAATGTCAACAACGAACACAGGCAACAATGCTTTAAGGTATATAGCTTTGGTTGTCCAAAGGTTAAAAGTACATTTTCAAACATGCCCGTGTAAATGTTAAAGGCACACGGATCCGATTTAAGGCATCATTTGTCTTGGGGATCTCTAAAAATTTCCCTCCTGCCAATCCGAGCCCACTTCAACCCGCCCTCCACAGAGCAGCTTTTTGGTTATCAGTTTTCATTTACTGTGCTGCCCTCTGCTTGTTTTATTCTTTCATTCCTGTCATATGTTCGGTAAAATGTCACATCAGCTTAAGCACTCTTTGAATTATGTATTATTTGTAACCATCACGGAAGGGAATTTATAAGAAGCATATAAACGGTTTTGAGAAGCATGAAATTAATGCGTTTTCAGAAGTTTAAAATGTAAAATCTTGAAAGTATTTTGACGAGTTTTTGGTACTTGTATTTGTTCCACTTTTTAGTCATTGGTATTGTTTGCTTGAGCTCATTTGGTTTTTAAAAGGAATTGAAATTGACAACTGCAGGCTTGTAGATTTAAAAAAACAACCATTTTATTGGGGACTCTTACAGCTCTTATGACAATCCATGTCCATTGTGTCAAGCACATTTGTACATATGTGGCCATTATCCTTTTGCTTGTAGGTTTCTTAAGTTAATGTTGCTGTAGTTTAGACAGCCTTACTGACTTGCTTCTCTTATTCTAATTGTTTTGAGACCTTGCCTTCCTCTTAAGTCCCCACTTCATCAGTCATTGCTGGTTTTGGTGGTTAGTTAACTGCTGCATTTATGACAAGGCATTTTTTGGTGTTGGTTATATAGTTTAAGTCTTTCTGTTAATATCTGAGTTGAATGTCAAAATTTAGAATATTATTTGCTTGTTTTGAAGTACTGTTTCAATTTGGATTTTGAAGCATACTTTTATCTCCAAATTTCCACATTCAAGGTGGTAAAGTTCAAGAGATACTTGCGTCCAGAGTGCAGAAGTAGTATTTTAATATTAGCAGTTAATTTATGGTTGATAGTCTTCCCAACTAGGATCAATTCAATCTCCTATTTTCTCTTATTATATGTAATCATGTTCCTTAAGAGGCATGTTCTATATAAATTAATTGTAGTTTTAAGAATTTATTTAAAAGAACTGCCCGTGAGTTTACACAAACCAGAAGACAATTAACTATGTTACTAACAACTGTAATTTCTTTAACCTTACAGGGATTTATATTAAACAATTTACCTATTTCATTCTGTTAATTGATTATCTGACTACTTTAGAGTTAGTTGATTTCCAACTGATATTTAATTTATAGCAATCTTTTGATTAAAAATGAATTGTCAAAAAAAACCCTGAATTGTCGTCACTCATTTATAAATCTAATTTTCCCTGAAGCTTTTGGGTATGGGGGCAGAAGGGATGGTGGCGGGGATGATGGTGATTCCATTAGTAGGTTTAGCTGAAATGGAGTTTGGAGGTTTGGACAGTGATTATGATCAAGATGGCTATTTGGTAACCAGGTGATTATTGAGGGGTTCTCTGGGGCTCTTATGATCAGTTCAGATTCCAGTAAGGTCTAGGTGCTGATGCTGCCTGGAGTGATTTCATAGAGGTTCATCATCCTTGCTCTGTGCTCCAGAATCTCTTCCCAGCCTGAGGGAGATTGTAGTGTCAAAAGTGCCAGTTTCTTTCTAGCTTGCCTGGAAAAGGACAACAGGATGATTTTCCTTGACTTAGAAAGTTATATCAAATTGCCCCAATTCTCTCGAATGTGTTTGTAGTTGGAGTAGTTCTAGGAAGCATTTGAATAATATCATTTTTTCCCTTTACATCCTTGTGACTGTACAGCATGGCCAGGATTTCTTCCAGAGTTAGAATTGGTTATTCAGTGTCTATGGGAACTTACACTTCTGAGATCTGCCTACTTGTTATAGTGCTGTTTTTAGGAGTAGAAGGCAGTTGGCTATGTGTATAACTTCTTCTAAATATTTTATTAAGTATCTGCCTTGTACCAGGCAATGTGGGGAACCAAAGATGTTGGGGAATCTGTCCTAACCTCCAGGAGCTTGTAGTCAACAGAAGATATAATGCTTTCAGATAGAGTACAAAGTAAAATGTGCTAGTCAATGGTGCGAGCAAGTGCTAGGCGTTTATAGTAGTGAAAGAAATCCCTTCTCAGATGAAGCCAGGTTTCATGAAAAAGTCACATTTTTTTAATGAATATGGACGAGGCATTCCAGTTATATGAAACAGCATGAGCAAGTGACTATATGAAAGGACAATAGTGAATTGTCCATCTAAACTGCAGACTGTGATTAGTGTAGGGGACAAATCAATCATAGGGGTTTGCTAAGCTAGGTTGTGAGATTTTCAAGTACAGGATAAAAAGTGAAGCCTTCTTGCAATAAGCAGCTTGGGCTTTGCAACACATTTCTTTCCTTTGCTCAAGGAAAAATGTTTCCTCTATTTGCACATCTGGAATTCTATCATAATGACACAGACTTAAAAAATCAGGTTAAAGGGACAGTTGTCATTCACAATAGTGTTATTTGCAAATTACGTTCTTTGGGGTTTATACTTTATTCCATTGCACACACCCTCTAAAAAATTCTAAAATCAGTGTCATACTCAGAATCTTCGGAAAATTCTTAATATTGACAGATTTTTATCATTAAAGGTTATATTTGATATTTAGGAACAAAGTATATGATGTGAAGTGTGGCAAATAAAGGTACATGTGAAATGATGGGGTTGATTTTCATCCTTGGCTTGAAAACTTAGCAAAGGGGCCCTCTGAAGCTCGCTCTCCGTATTTCCTTTGCACCCATACCTTTGTATATGGAATCTGAGTTTGTTGTACTGAGTAGGTGAAAATAAATACAGCCTTGTTGTTTCACTTTGAAAGCTCACTATCACTATCCTCCAAAAGGATCTTCTAAGCTATTTTCAAGTATTAAAAAACCTTTTTGACTATTCTATATCCCTGTACATTGATTTTGGGATAGTTACAATGTAAACTATTATCTCATTTCGTTGACCATTTCTTGTATACAGGAAGTATCTCAAGTGCAATAGTCTATTCCTAAATATTTTATCTTTTATTGAGATATAATTCACATATTAAATCAAATCCTTTTAAAGTAGCTGAGTGGTTTTTAGTATAGTCACAAGGTTTTGCAAACCTCACTATCTAATTTCAAATAGTTTCATCACTCCCAAAAGAAACCCCATACCCATTAAGCAGTCACTCTCCACCGCCCCACTCCCAACCCCTTGACAACCACTAATCTACTTTGTGTCTCTGTGGATTTGCTGGTTCTGGACTTTTCATATAAATGGAATTATAGAACACTGAATGTGTTACCTTTTGTGTGTGGATTCCTCTATGTTGTAGCATTTATTCCTTTTTAAGAAACTGGTGGTGCCATTGGATAAGCAATGGACTGTTAACTATAAGATAGCAGTACAAATGCAGCCCTCAGGAAGATTTACAACCTCAGAAACCCTAAGGAGGGGTCACTGAGTCAGAATTGACTTGATGGCAGTGGGTTATTGTTTAATAGAAATAGATGAAATGATTCTAAAATTTATGTGTAGATGCAAAGATCTAAACTGGCAAAAAGTCTTCAAAGAAGAAAAATATTACAAGCTTACAATTCCAGAATATTCAAAGAACTCCCACTTATCAACAATAAAGAGATAAATCTCTTTTTTCCCTTTTGATGAGCAAAAAGTCTAAGCAGACACTTCAATGCAATGTGTATATAAGGGGGGCTTCAAAAAGTTCATAGAAAAATAAAATTAAAAGGTGGTAATGCCATTTTCCAGAAACTTTAGGAAGCCTCTCATGAATTCCTAGGAGACATGATAATTCGTCCAACATTGTTAGTCATTAGTGAAATTAAAATAAAACCAACTTATAGTCACTAAAATAATCAAAGCAGAAAAGACCGACAAACCTAATTTGAGAGAACGTGGAGCAACTAATCTCTCAAACATTTGAGAAGGAGGATGTGTATAAACTAATCACACAATCTCTTTGGAGAATAATGGTTTTACAGTTTATTATAAAGTTAAACACATCTCTGCCCTGTCACCTGGCAGTTCAACTGTAGGTATTTACCTAAGAGAATGAAAATGTTTCTAGGTGCCTTTTTCATATTCTCTCCAAACGGGAAACACTACATGTGTCTATCAGCAATAGAATAGATAAAATATTGTGGTATGTTCATTATTTAGCAATACAAAATGACTTACGTACAGAATTGGAAATCTAGTTGGCAGAGAC